GTTATCCAACACAGCATGGCACTGGTACAAAACCAGACACACAGACCAATGGAATAGAAGAAAGAACCCAGAAATAAGGCGGCACACCTTCCACTATCTGATCTTTGACAAACCTGACAAAAAACAAGCAATGGGGAAAAGATTTCCTATTTAATAAATGGTGCTGTAATAACAACTGCCTAGCCATATGGAGAAGATTTAAACTGGACCCCTTCCTTACATCATATACAAAAATCAACTCCAGATAAATTAAAGATTGTAATGTAAAACCCAAAACTATAAAAAACATGGAAGACAACCTAGGCAATACCATTCAGGACATAGGCATGGGCAAAGATTTCATGATGAAGATACCAAAAGGAATTGCAACAAAAACAAAAATTGACAAGTGGGATTTAATTAAATCGAAGAGCTTCTTCACTGCAAAAGAAACTACCCACAAAGTGAAAAGACAACCTACAAAAAGGGAGAAAATCTTTGCAAACTATGCATTCGACAAAGATCTAATATCTAGCATCTATAAGAACTTAAACAAATAGACAAGAAAAAGAAAGAACCCCATTAAAAAGTGAGCAAAGGACATGAACAGACACTTTTCAAAAGAAGTTGTACATGCAACCAACAAGCGTATGAAAAAAAGCTCAACATCACTGATCATTAGAGAAATGCAAATCAAAACCACAAAGAGATACCATTTCACACCAATCAGAATGCTGGTGAGGTTGTGGAGAAAAAAGGAACATGTATACGTTGTTGTACGGTGGGAGCATAAATTAGTTCAACCACTGTGGAAAGCAGTCTAGCAATTCCTCAAGGAACTAAAAACAAAAGTACCATTCAACCCAGCAATCACCTTCCTGGGTACATACCCACAGGAATACAAATAATTCTATTATAAAGACTCATGCACAGGTATGTTCATTGCAGCACTCTTCCCAATAGCAAAAACACAGAATCAACCTAAATACCCATCAATGGTAGACTGAATAAAGAAAACGTGGTACATATACACCTTGGAATACCATGCAGTCATAAAAAAGAAGAAGATCATATCCTTTGCAGGAACACGGATGGAGCTGGAGGCCATTATCCTTAGCAAACTAACAAGGAACAGAAAACCAAATACCACTTGTTAGCACTTATACAGGGGAGCTAAATGATGAGAAAGCATGGATATGTAGAGGGAAACATACACTGGGGCCTACTTTAGGGTGAAAGGTGGCTGAAATCAATACAAATTTATTCTCTTACAGCTCTGTAGGTTGAAAGTCCACCATCAGTTTCACCAGGCTATAAAATCAAGGTACAGGCAGGCCTGTATTTCTTCTGGAGATTCTAAGAGAGAGTCTGTGTCCTTATCCTTTTCAGCTTCTAGAGGTGCCTACATTCCTCAACACATGGTCCCTTCCTCCATCTTCAAGGTGCACCGCTCAGCTCTGATCTGTTCATATGTCTCCTGTCTCCTGCTCTGATCCTCCTGCCTTCCACTTACAAAGACCCCTGAGATTACAATGGGCCGATATAGATAATCCAGGAAAATCTCATTTCAAGATCCTTAATTTAATTACATCTGCAAAATTCCTTTTAACATGTAAAGCAACATTCACAGATTCTGGGGATAGAATGCATTAGCATCTTTGGGGGTGGGATATTATTCAACCTACCACAGGTAGATACCATTTATTATGTTCTTTTTGCAGATGAGAAAAAAATATAGTAGTTATTAATACCACCATATACAATGAGAAACAAGAATTCAGAGGCTAAACAACACAAACTCACAAAACTTAAAAGGGGGCACCAACATATAAATACAGTGTTTCTAACCTTAAGTCTGGTTCCACTACACAATTCTGCTCGCAAAGTAGAAAAAAACAATAAAGGAAGGACTCCCTGCTTAAGGGTAAATTTTGTTATTTTCTTGGATTAAAAATAATTACTATATATTTATTGAATGGCTAACAGTAAGTAAGATCCAATTTTAGGTTCCGGTAATAAATAAGAATCAGATACAGTCAGTCTCAAGGTAATCCTTCATCTTTCCATATATTTAAACACCTATAATTCCTAAATGTATATATACAGTACTGACCGAATTTAATTACCTCATTAACATTCCCAGTTTCATGTTCTATAAACTTTTCCAATGTGCCAAGTCTGAAACTAAACTCTTGATTTTTTCCTACAAATATTCATCCCCCATCTTTTACCACCTCAGGAAATGATCTCACCATACTCCCCTCCCTCACCACCCACAGCTAATCAATAATTGAATACCTTAAATTTTGCCCCCCAAATATATCTTAATTCCATCTACTTCTCCTAATTGGCATTGCCTCCAGATTCCTAATTAGTATCTTCATTTTCATTCTTATATCGCCTCAATCTAACCTCCATACATAAACTAGCTTGATCTATTTAGAATATAAATGAGATTATGTCAATTGCATGTTAAAATACTTCAGTAACTACTTACAGCACTTATAATAAAATTCAAACTTTTCTTGCTATACTGGGTAACCATATAACATGCTCTGTTTAGGACTCTTCTGCGCCTGTCGTCCTGGTATAACTAGTAATACAGTCTCCTTTCATGCCTAAAATTATTCCATTTAGGTGATAAGTCTCTTGATCACCACATCTGTAGAGCCTTGTGTGATCTTTCTTTTGCCTAAATATTATTCTCATAGCTGAAGCCTTCTCCCTCAGGACTCAGTGTCTTCTCTTAAGTCTCCCCAGCAGTTGGCTTTCTTTAAAATCTGAACCACAGTATTCAATCCTATAGTTAATTCTTTCATTTGTTGAATGTCTGTTGAATCCATTAGGGTGCACAGAGAGAACCAGGCCCATATCTGCAGTGTTTACACCTACATACCTCAGTCAGCATTGTATCTGAAACATGATAAAAGCCCACCAGTACCTGTTGAAGATTAATGACTAAACAAGCTTACCATATAGGCAGAGAGACAGTAAATGTATAGTATGACATTTACACAATATAAATGTGTTCAAGATATCAACTACCAAAATTAATATGAAAAAGAAAATAATTACTTCTGCCTGCAGAGAAGGGTTGATTAGGAAAGACTCCATAAATGGAGGATGCCCAAACAGTGTTGATGGATGAATAAGATCATGCAGTGTGAACCAAGAAGCCAAGAGAAGACTTCTAAGCTTAGGGGATGGCATTTGCAAAGGCAAAAAGGTATAAAACTGTGATTATTCAGGAAACCCAAAGTAGTTTATCGTATTAGAGTGTACGATGTTGTATAAATGATATATTAATAACACAAACCTTAAGGGACAAAACCTAAATTGTAGAGACCACAGCAGAAAATACAGAGAGCGCTAACAAATTTGAAGCTTAGCGTTTTTGTTTTTGTTTTTTGAGACAGAGTTTCCCTCTTGTTGCCCAGACTGGAGTGCAATGGTGTGATCTCAGCTCACTGCAACCTCTACCTCCCAGGTTCAAGCAATTCTTCTGCCTCAGCCTTCTGAGTAGCTGGGATTACAGGCATGCACCACCACGCCCAGCTAATTTTGTATTTTCAGTAGAGACAGAGTTTCTCCATGTTGGTCAGGCTGGTCTCAAACTCCTGACCTCAGGTGATCCACCTGCCTTGGCCTCCCAAAGTGCTGGGATTCCAGGCACCCAGCCTGAATTGCACCCAGTCTGAAACTTAGCTTTATTTTCATTTATAGTCCTAGAATGATTTGATAAATTCTATTGCATATTTAACTCACCTTATAAATTATAGAAGTTCTTAGATAAATCCGTTTCTGAAGTGTTATATTGCAAACTTCATTGCCATAAAGAATCCTCACAGTTGCAGTTATTACAAAACAGTCACAAAATTATAATACATAGTCCATAAGGAAACTCTACTGAGAGTTATGGTGTATAGAACTAAGCTGAGCTTTTCTGTCAAATAAATTTTTTGGTTTAAATTTTAATAATTATGTCAAATTTCTTTTTTTTCTATAGCGTGCTTTTATTCATTATTAGATTATTAAAAAAACAGGCCAAAGCCACTGTTATGATTTTGACATTTATATTGTACAAATGTATAGATAAAAATATCTATGGAATCTGAAAAGACTTCGGGTCGTATTTTGATGTAACTAAAAGTTGACACAATTAATACTCATCATTGACCTATTTCTCTAGAAACAGAAAATTATCGAGAAAGATATATGGTATAGATAATCACAAATATTTGCTTTGAACATTTAGAATGTATACTAGAAGTTGTGCACTAGCAGACTGCATGACAAGAATGCTTTGTTTAGACTCCAAAGTGTTTCAAAAATTGACTTAAGATTTAAATTTGGGAAATCACAAAAAATCCAGAATTCTGGCCACTCTTAAAAAAATTAAAAGATCAGATAACTCTAGTAATATTCCCCAAATCACAGTCCCCTAGAAACTAGTAGATGCTCTCTGGTTAACCACAGACCCACCTCCCCCATCACCCCAGACCGCTGCCCTTATATATGTGACATGCCTAAGCCTTTGTATAAGACTAAAACTCTCAACCATTAACGACCACTTGAAAATCATCAAAAAGACTTAAGAATATATTTTGCTCATTTGTAATATTGAGAATTAAACACACAGGCTATTTTTTAAAATCGTCTAAATATGAAAAAATTCAGACATTCAACCCTTTCTTTCTTGGATTTTATCAGTTAACTAGACTGTACCAAAACAAATAAGCCAAATAAATCCAGTATAACAATTCCTCCCCCTGACTAGCAAGCTCTTTGTTTTGGCATCTAGTCAATTCAATTAAAATTATACAACCCAATAATCTAAAAATATATATCAAGCATTTAATCTGTAGTTCACCTAAAAGTACCTGTTATGTATATTTCAATGTAGCAAATATACTTCATTTTATTTAAATGGGAAGACAACATATTTTCAATATGAAAACTGTTCTAGGTTAGGAAATATTAACCTGAAAATGTCATTCCCATAGAAATTGACAGGCACTTACCTTAGCTATCTGGACACACCAGTTAAGCAGCAGTTGCGATCCAATGTTATCCTTGTGCTCGTGGACATACTCCAACAGGCAACCATGGGGCATAAGTTGAGTAACCAGCTGGATGGTTGGGCTCAGACACACACCCAGCAACCGTACTAGGTGTGGATGATCCATACTTGCCATGATCAGAGCTTCCTGTAAGAAAAAAATGCAATACCATCATTTCTAGTCAAATCTTTTTAGATTTACAGTTACTTCCATTGTACTAATGGTACTGATGATTTTTTTAAAATGTACTCAGTGGAATCAATCAAAATGAAAAGATATTATTTCAGTTATTCTATCTTTAAAGTGATTTAATTCATTAAAATTAAATAAATAACAGTCTCTACATGCATTTACATGGAAGCTGTTATACAATAACTGCCTATAAAATTAATAGCAGTATTTTCTCCTTTGCAATATGAGCAATATGAGATTTTATTTATTGCCAAGTAAGTCAAAATGAATTCCAGCTTATATTATGGATTTTTAACCTTTGACCTTTGCTCTAAAGTAAAATAATCTATAAAAATTTAGTTAGTTGCAAGTAGAGTAAGGTGAGCTGAACTTTGAAGTCACCCATTATTGGTGTAGAGTTGGACAGCTTACAATGGTGTCAAGTATAAATCATAAATATGGAAATGTAGATAATTACAAGTAATATATCTATCGTCAATTTATATTAAATAATAAACATTTTAATAAAATATTTTGTTTCATAATTTTACCTTTCCTCAAATTTATTTCATTTTCAAAATTATAAGTGATGTCTTATTCATAGATTCATAAAATTTGAGAGCTGAGACTATAAAAATTTGACTACTCCAACTTTTATATTTCACAAAATGAGAAAACTGAGTTACAATTTTGCATCAGAATCATAAAGGCACCACTGCTTAATGGGGATAAAAGTGGACATATGACAGTTATTTAGTGCATCCCAGTTAGCTTCAAATAAAAGTTATTATAAGACTCTTTATTGTATTTTGAAATAGACATAACCATAAAATAAATGTTTATGTACTTTGTTATGGTTTGATTTGTGCTTTTATATTATAAAAGCCAATAAAATATAGTTCATCTCCTATGAAAACAATAGTAAATGTTTGCTTTTAAAAAGCTATGTAATATCACCTACATACTATTCTTGTCAATAATATTTAATTTGAATCTAATCATAAGGAAAAAATCAGACAAATCCATACTGTAGGACATTCTGCAAAGAAACTGGCTCGTACTTATTTAAAATGTCAGTATTAGGAGAAACGTAAAAGAAGGGTGTGATGTTCAAACTAACATTTATTACAGAAATAGGGCAATGCTGCATTTTTGGCTCTTGGGTTAAAAAATATATAAAACATTATTGGGACAATTGAGGAAACCTAAATAGGGACTATATATCATGAAATATTACATCAACGTTAAATATTTGAGAGTGACAATGGTATTGCAGCTATGTAAAATAGTATTCTTTGATTTTAGAAGATCCTGAAATCTTTATGGATGAACTATCTTGCGTCTGCAATTTACTTTCAAATACTCACACAGGGAAGGAGAGCGAGATATATAATATATGTATATATATCTATGTGTTTGATGTGTGTATACAAATATATACACACAAATACTTGCACATACACATGGAGGGTGTAATACATATATGGCAATTGATTATCAGTTGATTTTTCTACATGAAGGTACAGTATTCATTGTATTACTCCTGAACATTTTATATAACTTTGAAACATTTTAAAATAAAAAAATTAAGGACACAAATTATATTGAGTTTCTGTTTAAGATGGCATGGCAGATTGAATTCACAAATTACTTCCCTTTTCTCTCAATTTCACTATACTGACAAAAAAAGAATTAATTTTAAAAGACAGACACCAACAATCATAGAAAGGAGGCAATAAAGATGGAATAGTAAAAGTAGGAAGTGGCTTATCAATGTTAGCAACTTGGTAAACATAAGCAATCTGAAGCCTAATTTAATGGAGGGAAACTGAGAAGCAACCCAGTAATGTGTAACACCAAAGGCTGAGGAGTAGTAGTATTACGAACCTCCATAAATGGAGCAAAAGAACTGTTTTCAGCAGGATTGCTTCAGAGTACATTTGGGAAACACTTAGACTACAGATCTCCTTCTCCCCTTTGCCCTTAGGAAATCTTAAACCAAAAGAACTGGACTGTGGATATCAGGCAAAATGGAAAGAGCGGGAACTGAACAATGAGATCACTTGGACTCGGGAACGGGAACATCACACACCGGGGCCTATCATGGGGAGGGGGGAGGGGGGAGGGATTGCATTGGGAGTTATACCTGATGTAAATGGCGAGTTGATGGGTGCAGCACACCAACATGGCACAAGCATACATATGTAGCAAACCTGCACGTTGTGCACATGTACCCTACAACTTGAAGTTTAATAATAATAAATAAATTTAAAAAAAAAAAAATGGAAAGAGAAGTACTCTGGGGAAAACAGAAGTATTATGTAAATTTACATATGATAAAAATATGGACCATTCTTCCATTCCATCTCCCAAATAGAGCTGTGACTTCAAAATTCTCAAAGTTTTATTTAAACCTAGAATTTTACACCCAGCAGCATTTCAACCAAGTGAATGCGTACAACAGACATGTTCAGATGTGCCAAATCTTAACACATTTACCTTCCGTGCTTCCTTTCTTTGTAAATGTGCTCATAAAAAAGGGACAGGGTGTTAGAAGAGTACATAAAATCAAGGAAACAAACATCAAGCATAAATTATGGAAATACAAAAAATATAGTGAAAAATTTTCTAGAATAAAAGCTATACAACAAACGAAAATAGCAGCCGGCTAAGACTGGAACAGGTCAAGTAGCTCTGGGAAAGGTGATCCAAGAAGATGGAATTGATAGAATGCCTGATGAACTTAAAATACATTAAGAAAATATTTATTTTTCTAGTGGGAGTTGGAGGTCAAATTAGTGATAGACACACAGAAAACTAAGCTAAAGTAAAAAAAGAGGAAATTAACCTGAGATAAAACACAAAGATATGCACAAGAAAGACTCGGAAAGGTGAGGAGCTGTGAGGGGAGTGGATGATGAGAGATTGCTCAATAGGTACAATGTATATTATTTGAGTGATGGCTACACTGAAAGTATTGACTTCCCCATTATGCAATCTATGTATGTAACAAAATTATACTTGTACTCATAGATTAATGCAAATAAATAAAAAGAAAATCAGACTATACAGCACAACTGGGAATAGTTACATAATCATAATAGTGTAAACATGAAATACTGATATAATCAGAAATCATGTAACTGTGGGAAAATGGGGGGACCGAGGATGCCCTTCTGAAAAGTGGTGATGGGAGTGGAGTGAAAGGTATATAACCATTGCTGGTTGCAAAAAGTTAGCATAAGATATGTAGACTAAAAAGAAAAAAATTAAGACTTCGCAATATAAGCATATTAGTTAAATATACGTAGTTAGGTAACAGAAGAAATTTCCAAAAAATGAAAGTGATTGATTTGGGCAGTGGAAAATGGGGGCAGGGAAGGGACAGCAGGGTAGCTAGCAGGTTACCTTTCATCATTAGTCTTGTCAAAGTATTTTACTTTTTTATGATTACCTTAAAGCTACTTATGAGGACATTATCCCCTTTAACCGTCCCTACTATTTTACTGCTGCTGAGTTACAGAGTGCCTTCCAAGAGTTATTCACAAATATGCAGTGTTTGATGAGGTATGTGGGTTTCCCAGATCCAGCCAAGGGTTTATTGTGAGGTCTAACATTTTATTTTTTCAGTAAGGAAGAGAGGGGCAGCATGAGAACATGCCTGGAGAAAGAAGTGATAGAAGACCAAACAAAAGAAGTAAGCTGGTAAAATGCTGCCACTCTCCCTCAAAGGACTTTTCGTTTCTGAGATTTGGTGGTAAAAGCTGAAATCATTGTTTTTCAGATGGCTTCCAAGTAAAAAAGATACTTTAATTCCCTCTTCCCTAGCTGCCCCAGGGAACAAGAGTCACAGAACAGAGATGAGTTTCTATGCTTTCTTGCTGAGCCCATGAGGACTGCAACATGGTGAGGACAGGAAGTTCCGGGAGCACTGTGAGGCATCACACCTAGAAAGGACTTCAGCATACTCGCGTGGTAGCAGTCAGCAGTAACAGGAGTGGGACCTCTCCAATGGCTCAGAGAGAAGAGACTCAACAGAGGGACCAGAACTAGTAGGAAAGATCACTATAAAAACCACAGACCTTACATGGTACCAGTCAGCAGTAACAGGAGTGGGACCTCTCCAATAGCTCAGAGAGAAGAGAATTCATCATGGGGATCAGAACTGGTGAGAAAGATCACTGTAGATACCACAGGGAGACTGCAGCTGGAAGGCCAGATTATAGGTAAATAGGAGACACCCGACAAGTTTCCAAAACATTTGTGGAGACTGCTTTGGGGCGTGGGGTTTTGCATAATTAGCTGAGCCAGAAATCTGTGTTATTACTATTCATGTGGCCTCCTCTGGATTCACAAGGTGAAAACATTCGGTTTCACTTCTTGTGTATCTCAGTAAACATTTGAAATAAAACAAAGCAATGTAGTTATAAAGAGAGTATGGATGAAAATATTAGCCAACTTAAATGACCTATTATTACCTATTATTTAATCTGGTATTAACTGTATTCACAGTGTAAACCAGAGGGTTCTTTCATTGAATTATAACATGCACATGTAAAAATATATACACACCAACAAATCAGCAAAGCATCTAATTAGATTAAATCACTAATTTAATTATGTTTTAAGTTAGATACTTAATTAGATATTAAATATTAGATATCAAATTAAATTAAATTTACACTTATGTTATTTCTTGTTTGGTGGCTCTGGATTTTTTGTGTATATGAAAGTCACCTGTTCACAGTTACAAGTGTGGCTCCACTCCCAGATACTCAGGTTTAGAAGATCTTAGGCACCTCCATTTGTAGCAAGCTCCCTTGTTAAAGGAACTTAGGAAATAGAAAATGTTGAGAACCTCTAGCACATCTCGATGTCTCCATCGAATGTGTGTTTCTGTAATCCACTGCAAAAGCGATAACAGGTAGTAATTATTTGATCCTTATTATAATCCCATGAAGCAGCTCAAACTCAAA